AACCTTATGATTACTGGAGGAAAGGGGGTGGGAAGGGATAAATTTGGGAGTTGAGATTTGCAAGTATGAGCCACTATATATAAAAATAGATTAAGAAAACAAATTTCTTCTGTACAGCACAGCAAACTCTACAGAATATCTTGTAATGAAAAAGAATATGAAAATGAATATATGCATGTAGATGCATGACTGGGACTCTGTGCAGTGCACCAGAAATTGACACATTATAATAACTTTTAATCAAAAAGAACATTTAAATGAATATATGTATGTATATGCATGACTGGGACATTGTGCTGTATACGAGAAATTGATGCCTTGTAACTAACTGTACTTCAATTAAAAAATTAAAAGAAAAGACATATAGTGATTCTCTTAACAAGTCCCATAAAGTTTAAAGCTTTTGTAAGGCTTTGGTGGAAAATTATATTTTTTATCACAGAACTTTATTTTTGGAAGAGAAATTTAAACTAAATATAGTTTTAAACAAAGAATAAGTTTTTATCCTATGACTTCCATGTTAAAAGAGAAAACTTAAAAAAAGAGGAAATCAGGGGGGCTCTGATTAAAATGGCAGAGTGTGGTCATGGAGCTCACCTCCCCCACTAACACATCAAAAATACATCTATATGTAGAATAATTCTCTCTGAAAGCTAGCTGGAACCTGGCAGCAGGACTCTTGTACAACCAAGACTGTAATAAAAATAAACATTTAATCAGGTAGGAAGGGAAGAAAGGAGATCTGTGTCACTGGGAGAGACTCACAGGAAAAGGGAGATTTTGTGGGCAGACACCCACTCCAGGGAGGGAGTGGTTCGAGTCACATATTGGGCACCCAAGTCCTGGGGTCCCATCTGATGGATACAAGCTTCTTTGGCTGGTTTAGGGACATTGACACTAACAGAAATGCTATGGGAACCTTGGATTACACTCATGAGAAGCACCTGTGCCCCTGCTTGCTCCTGAGGCAGGGAGGTGAGGGGTGTGCGCCAAAGGTGGCCGTGTTTCTCACAGCCACCTCATTGCACACCCCAGCCTGAGCCAAGCAAACATTCTGGTCCCACTCACTCCACATCACTGTGTGGCGCTGGGTCTGTAGTAGCCACACCTGGATAAAAGACTTGATCTTGGGATGCAGAGGTGACCTGATTTTAGGGTGGATCCTGGATGGAGTGGCAGTGGCCATTTTTGATGCATCACAATCAGCTCAGATCTCTGCTGGAGGCTGCTCCACCACAGCTCACCCTCAGTGAGGACCAAGAGACCCCACAGGCTTTGCTTCCTCGACAGAGCGCTTTCATAACATGACAGTCTGACAGAGGTTGGGGGCAGTGACTGGTTATGAGGGACAAAGGGCACTGGCGCCCGAGGCTGTGTGTGAGTGGGGCCACAGGTATCTGCATTGGCAACATGTCTCTTCAAATATTTTCTCAGGTCCTTTCTCCCTCTCTTCTCCATCTGGGTTCCCTATAATGTGAATATTGTGCTTCTTGGAGTCCCAGAGGTCTCTTCAACTATCGTCCATTCTTTTCATTCTTTTCCTTTTTCTTGTTCTGTGGTAGTCATTTCCACTGCTCTGTCTTCTAGCTCACTGATCCATTCTTCTGCCTTTGTTAGTCTACTCTTGGTTCTTTCTAGTGTATTATTCATTTCAGTTATTGTACTTTTCAACTCTGGTTGCACCTTATATTTTCTAACTCTTTGCTAGAAACTCCTAACATCTTGCCCTGTGCATCTAGTATCCTCTCGAGTTCTCTGATCATCTTCACAATCATTGCTCTGAACTCTTTTTTAGGTATATTTTCTCTGTTCTCATCACTTATTTCTTCTTCTTGGACTTTATTTTGTGCCTTTGCCTGGAACATATTCCTCTGCTGCTTCATTTTGTCAAAATTTCTCCTTGTGTTTTATGTATGTGGTAGGTTGTTAGTTTTGTTACTTTCTCAGCCTTGGGGAAGTGGCCCTCTATAGGTGACATTCTGTGCATCCCGGCAGTGCACTACCTTCCTGTCACCCAAGGGCGGGGGCCAGCTGGTTCCAGGGTAAGTTCTGGCCTGCATTTATCTTCTTGTTCCATAGGCTACAGAGTTGCTGTTTTCTTGCTTCTGGTATCTGCCTCCTGGTGGGTGAGGCTGGACCAGAGGCTTGTGCAGGTTTCCTCATGGATGGGGCCAGTGCCTGCCCACTGGTGGATGGAGGTGGTCATGGCCTTCTGGTGGGAAAGGCTGTGTCTTGAGGGGGGCATGTCTAGAGGCAGCTGTGGACTCAAGAAGTCTTTTAGCACCCTGCCTGCTGATGGGTGGGACTGTGTTCCCATCCAGTTAGTTGTTTGGCCTGAGGTCCCAGCACTGGAGTCTACAGGCTGTTGGGTGGGGCCAGGTCTTGGTGATAGTGATCCAAACAAAATGTCAGCCTCCAGGAAAGCTCCTGCAGATGAGTACTACCCAAATTTCTGCTACCAGTTTTTATGTCCCAGGGTGAGCCACAGCCACCCTCATCTCCCCAAGAGGCCATCCAAAACCAGCAGGCTGGTCTGGCCCAGGCTCCTATAGAATCACTACTCAGGTCCCATGTGAGATTCTGTGTCTGCTATTTAAGAGAGTGAATTCTCTGTTTTCCTTAGTCTTATGGAGCTTCTGCAATTTACTCTGCTGGCCTTCAAAGACAAATGTCCTTGCTCACCCTGGGAGTATGCAGGAAAACGTAAACTATGTACTCTGCCCTCCACACATTGCTACCAGTGGAGAGAAGAGAGAAGAACCCATGTGCAAGGAATGTCTATTCCACTTACGGTACCCAGGAGAGTACATCACACAACAGCAATTAGAAGCAAGAAAAAACAACAATCAGGAGAAATTGTTTGATCACAGCAAAGATGATCCCAAAACCCTTGGAGAAACAGGAATAGTCAGTCTTCTTATATGAATCCCTTAGACTCAAAAAACATTAATTGTGGAACTAAAGAAAACTATGAAAGAATGGTCTATGTTCACGTATATTAAAAATACTAATATTTAAACATTGATAATAATACTGAGTTTAAGTCAGCAAGCACATTTGTTGTTGTAGTTCAAACATGTTTAAAGTAGCATAAAATTCCCCAGCTGGTGAGGAATTAAGTATCACTAGTGTAATGCCCCCAAGCATAGCAAAAACCTCCAAAGCC